AAAGGTTCTTCAAACACAGCTGGTTAATCTCATCAGATGGGAGTGAGAGGGCTAGTTCTGTTGGTAGGAGTGATTCAACAGACTTTAGAGTCTCAGTGTCTGCAACTTCCTGATTATCTATCCATATGTCCTCATCTCAAGTCTCAGGATCCCATTTCTTCCCAATCAATACCCTCACTTTAACTTCAGACACCACTCAAGGTTGAGAATTCAACTGGCATTGTAATTCAGCCACTCATATGATAGGACTCTGGATTTGGTTTTCTGTAATATCAGCTCTGTTACTACAAGAAATGTTTTCTTTCAAGGCACAAGTGGCAACTTTGAAGTCTTTTATGGGGCATTTGAACTGTGACTCTGCAGCCCTGAGCTCATCTCTTTTATCACTTTGTCTAGCAAAAGTAGGACCAACCAACCAGCCTCCTTATACTTCTCATTCTGACAAAATTGTAGAAAAGTATCAAATATGTGATCACACAGAGCCTCACCTCTCACCAATACTTGATCGATTGGTGGTGATATTTTGCATATTTCTATTGCCACCTTATGCCATGGATTAGCAGTGCCCTCTTTATTACTGGAAACAGAGTTATAAACATCTTTAAGACTAATCAGACTTGAGAATCAATTTAGAAAACTCATCCTTACAATTTTGTTTCTCTAGAGCCACTCTCGGTACCAGTACTAGGCTGAGTTCTCTAGGAGGCAAAACTAGCAAAGTGTGTGTGTGTGTGTATATATATATATGTATATATATATAGAGAGAGAGAGAGAGAGAGAGAGATTTGTCTCAAGGAGATGGCTCACGCGGTTGTAGAGGCTGGAAGTCCCAAGTCTGTGGATCAGGCATCAGGTTGGAAGCTTCTCCTGACTCATGTAGCTGCAGAGGCTGTTTAACCCAAGAACCATCACACATACTAATACTTTCACATCATGACTGGACTTTTCTGCAAGCACGTCAAGTTCATTATTTCCACTCATCTCCCATCAATCTATCTGTCTCTGTATGCCTAATTTTAAATAATGGCACTATTATACATTATTTATTTAAACTGGAAACTAGGGAATCATTCTCAGTATCCACTTTCTAGTGTGTGGTTTTGGGCAAATCATTTAATTTCTTTCTCTCACAGTTGCCTATTCTGTAAAATGGGAGGGAGTAAGCATTATTGTGTGGGGTAACCGAGTTAATGCATGTAAATTTGTCAGCCTAGTGCCTGGCACTGAGTGAGCTCTCACTGCAGGTTAGCTATGATTATTAGTTCTCTGAGCAGAGTGGGCAGGAGGACCCTCTGCCAGCTTTTCCCCCTGCTCACCTAGAATCTCAGCAAGTACAAAAGCCTGGGGGTGGCAGCAGCAACTGTTTGAGATATACAGGTAAGTACCCTGAAATCAGAGGCCTGGTGGTACAGTGGTTAAGAGCTCAGCTGCTAACCAAAAGGTCAGCAGTTGGAATCCATCAGCCTGTCCTTGGAAACCCTATGGGGCAGTTCTGCTCTGTCCTAAAGGGTCGCTATGCGTCAGAATTGACTCAGCGTACTAGTAGGCCGAAATCTACTGGTGGAGTTGGAACTACCAGACAGGGACCTGGAATCTGCCACTGGGGAGTCGCATTCTGTTGCCTACCATACCCAGCCTAATAAGGCAAGGCAACGTGAAGTTTGTGCTCAGAACCTCGTTCTTTTCTTTGGCTTTACCTTCTCCAGGGAATTGCCTCCTCTTTGTCTTACCAAATCTGCTCCTAAAACCTGTTGCCATCGAGCCGATTCTGACTCAGCGACGTTATAGAACACAGTAGAACTATCCCATAGGGTATCCAAGGAGTGGCTGGTGGATTCGAATTGCCAACCTTTTGGTTAGCAGTCAAGCTCTTAACCACTGCACCACCAAGGCTCCACAAATCTGCTCCTAGGTAATTTAATAAAGTCAATTCATATGAATCTTGCTAAATGTAAATTTGATGTGAATTTAATGTATCCTGTTGTGAGCAATAGAACGTGGGTTTGGGGGTTGGCCAGGCTGCTTGTGACTCTTGCTAGCTGTGTGACTTTGGATGAGTAACTTAACTTCCCTGAGCTTAAGTTTCCTTCCACATAAAGTATCGATAATACCATCTTCCTTTAATGTGTATAAAACACATTATATGCATTCAAAATGTGAAGTTCCTTTCCTTCCCTTATCTCCACAGTAAACTAATGTTTACTAATGTTCCTAAAGTAACCAAGGAGTCTGGGTTTCCCTTTTTCACTGGCCCTTTGCAAATGAGTTCCTTGATTTCTATATGATTTCATTTACTTGTCTATGGAGTAGGGATACTACTACTTGTTTTGTACATTACTTCCAACTTCTGGACAAATTAATATGTTCTGAGCAACTAAACCCCTGCGGACAACACTTAGCACTGATATATTAGAATGAGAAAGACCAGACTCAGCAGAGATGTGGAAGCAAGTGCACGCACACATTGCTGGCAGCACTGCAAATTGGCTCAGCCTTTCTGAAAAGAAACCCGGCAGCATGGTGTGAGCATTATTTACCTCTTCACCCCTTTTGACTTATCAATTCCACTTTGGGAAATATATTCTAAGGAAATTATACCTTCTCCTTCTCCCATGCTCCAAACAAGGCATTTGCAAATATTTTCAAAACAAAGAAAAGAAAACAAGCCACATATCTGCATAGGGACTAGGTTTCCTTCATACAGAAGAATGAGATAAAACGACAGGTGTGTGGTCTATGATGTGTATCATGTGTGTGTGGACATGGACTCAGTTTTCTCATCTGGAACATGAGAATAATAATTGTACCTATCCCATGAGGCTGAAGTTGGGAGTTGATGAGTTAATAGATGAAAAGCACTTGGAACAGTGCCTGGCACACAGAAGCACTCATTAACTGTTTCCTATTATTATTATTTCATGAAAAGTGTTGAAAGGAATAAAAGTAGAACACAAAACAGCATGGACATATTCAATGGAACAATGTTATTGGATAGTAATTATTTCTAGAATAGAATCCAGTGGGAGGGAACATTTTAGTGCTCCTGGCTTTTTCCCTGTTAAGTTCATAATAGATAAGAAAACACATGAGTGAAGACATATCATCAAAACAAATTGGAAATAGCTCTGAAGACAAGTTTAGCAATTTTCACAAAATAAAAACAAATCTGGTGTCAGTCAAGGCCACCTGACTGATATCTAACGAATCACATCAGCATCTAGAGTGACAGAAGAGCCAGCCCTGCTCATTCTACAGCTGAACTGACGAGGTGCAGTCAGCCCAGTGCAGAACCATGACCAACAAAGGTCTAAACTTAACGTCTAAAATTCTGTCCTTTTTACCAGGCTGCACAAAACTACTGTATGTGGCTTCCCCAAATTAGAAGTTTCACCCCACTTGCCACATGTTTCCTGTGTAATTTCATAGCTGAACATGTCCCTGCTAACAATTTCTATTTCTAACCCGATGGGAGGGAAGATTTCTTGAGAGAGGTCTTCCTTGAGCCTCCAGGATAAAACATTCATCAAATATACCAGGATACTAGTAAACTCCACTGGGAATGTAATTGGGTCTTCCTTCTGGAAAGGCTGGCATTTAACAAGTGGGCCCTGGTCCAAGTATACCTTCTCCTGCCTGGACCACCAGTCACCTCTGTCCACTTTTATCATCCATTCCCATATGCACCTGGGCTGTGGTCCTTCCCCAGAGCAGAGCCTTCCAGTGGCCTCATGTCAAACTTAGAATAATATCTAAATTCCTGATCGAGGCATTTGCACATGCTCTTCTTCCCCTCCCCTGTCACTTACCTAAGTCCTGCTCACCCATCAGATGTCAGTTTGTGACACTTCTTCAAAGAAGTGCCCTTGGAATTGACTGGACCTGTTGGTTAACATCCATCCTGCACTTCTTGTTAACACTTAACACACATAAAATTACTTGTTCCATGTTACAGATTGAATTGTGTCTCTCTTAAAACAGGTGTTGAATTCCTGGCCCTTGGACCCATGGGTGTGATCCTGTTTGGAAATAGGTTTTTCCTTCTGTTATATTACACAAGTCATACCAGTGGAGGACGGATCCTAAATCTAATCACTTCTGAGTTATAAAAAGAGTAGAAGAGACACAGAGACACACACAAACACAGAGGACAATGCCGTATGAAGACAGACTCACAAGGCAGATGCATCTACAAGCCCAGAACTCCAAGGATCGCTGGCAGTTACTAGAAGCTGAAATAGACAAAGAGGGATCTTCCCCTAGAGCCACACCCTGAATTCCGACTTTAAGTCTCCTTAACTATGAGAAATAAATTTCTGTTCTTTAAAGCCACACACTTGTGGTATTTTTTGTTATGGCAGCACTAGTAACTAAGACATTCCATATCTATCTTCCTACAAAATTCTGAGTTCTACGCAAACAGTACTGGGTCTGAATGATGCCACTATTCTTGCCCAGTACTGGGCACGTAAATAAATATTTGTTGAATGTATAGCCACATATGCAAATGGATACATTAGTAAGTAACTGAATGAATGAATGGAGCATGAAGGGAGAGCACAAAGCTTAGCCCCCAAATTAACAACTAATTTGGAATTTCAGCTTTAGCAGGGAAGGCATTGCAGGGCAGGGAGCTATCCTAGATTCTCTGAAATTACACCAAATAGGTGACTTAGGAAAAGGTCAGATCCTTCTGAAATAAGCCAGAACAGCTCGCTTACTTTCGATGCATCATCAGGAAAGACAAATCACTAGAAAAGGATATTATGTTTGGTAGAGGGTCAGCAAAAATGAAGAAAATCCTCAGTGAGATGGACTGACACAATAACCTCAACAATGGACTCAAACATACCGAGGATCATGAACATGGCACAGGACCGGGCAACGTTTCGTTCTGTTATATGTGGAGTCACCGTGAGTTACAGCCAACTTGATGGCAGCTAACAAGAACAACAAATAAAAGGCAGCCTGCTGGCCTCCTGGAGATTCAAAGAAACCCTTACCTGCACTATCCGTGTGGTTCTTATTGGCTGCGGTTTTCATCATTTTCTCACTGAATAAAAGAAAAAAAGAGTCAGCTATACAGTTTCCAAAATGCTTCCCCTCCCCCTTTAATCTGCTATTCTAAGCAATTAGCAAAAGCTAGTGATGGTATTAAGCAATGAGGATACTTTGACATCAGCACCACTAGTGGCAGAGATGGAAAAGGCTTCCCAAGTGTGTACTTGACCCCGCTGGTGGGATGCAGCTGAGAGCATTCATGAGCATCAGGATGGTGTGGAGACACGTGGATGGTGGGTGCAGGCATTTGCAGTGCAGCGTCCATGAGAGCCACATGCACTGGGAAGCCCATTTACGGTACCCTTCTTGGGCCGAAGTGTTACCTTTGACCAAGAATTACCGGAAAAAAACAAACAAACCCATGATTCATAGAGATGTGAATACTTTCAGCCTTGAAATGATTAAAAGAAAACTGATTTGAATGAATGAGTTCTTTTAATGATTAAAGAGAAACAGATTTAATTATGGTTTCATTGGTTTGCTTTCTTTTTTTTTTTTACCTAGACACATCTTTGCTATTACTTGTAATTGGCCCTTTAAAAAGCGCAGACTGAACAAGACCAGTTAAACTGGCAATCTGTTTCTCCATGGCTTGCATCCTCTCTCTGTAAAACAAGAGAATCATTTGTTAAAGCTATATTGACTCTCAGACTGGTTTTTCTAGCTGAATGATCACCTAAGTGTTATAAAAGGTACCACCTAAGAGGCTGCCAAAGTCTACCACAGCCTGTCTCTGGGACCATAATGAGTTTACACAACTCCTGCCAGACAAAATCAAGATTCGATGATCAGAGTTCAGTACTAACACAATGATCTCGCTGAGAAGGCACTGCACAGACCAGAAAAGACCTCCTGGAAGCCAGGAAACATCTCTCTCAGAAATAATTCTATTTGCATGTCATGTGTTTTTGAGCCTCTCGGTCCTGCTTCCACAGCCCACCAGTAGCCGTGGAGTCAGCGCTGACTCATGGTGTTCCCCATGTGTGTCAGAGTAGAACTGTTGTCCATAGGGTTTTTAATGGCTGATTTTTCAGAAGCAGATTGCCATGCATTTCTTCCAAGGTGCCTCTGGGTGGACTTGAACCTCCAACCTTTCAGTTAGCAGCCGAGCGTGTTAACCATTTGCACCACTCAGGAACTCCTTTCATAGTTTACCCTTTGCAAAGGAGCCCCCGTAGCCTGGCCCTGTCCTAAACCAGCTGTCACTCAGTGGTGCACACTTCTAAGCTGTACTCCTCAACTGGGAGGTGGCTGGCTAATTTTGGTGTAAATGATGAAGATGTTTGTCGTGTGTATAGTAAAACTTGTTTTATAGCCCAAAGGCAACACAAACAAACGTCTCTTATTAAGATCATGGGAAATATGACTGAAATCAGTGTATGATTTGGAGACAGAGGACTCTCAATCTGATGTCCTAGAAATGTCAACCTGGAGGCTTCCACAGGAGCAAGCAGGAAAACAAATGTCCCTAACACTTGGTCACCTCAAGACATTAACGCCCCCAATTATTTACTACGTAAAATACTTCATCTCATCTGCTTAACAATTACTAGCCTCTGACTTTAGAATTCCATGCCTTTTTTTTTTTTAAAGTTTAAAATGGATGGTTCCATCATAATGCTGAGCTTCTTGGAGGTAAGTCATGTGGAGTGGACAGTTAATGGTGGTAAACTAAGTCCAGCAGAGGGGCACCACGCATGTTCGCCTTGGGTGTTACACATACCTGGCAGTTAAAATGATAAAAGGTTCTGATATGTGCTATGCTATAGATGAACCTTGAACACATTGTCGAGTGAAATATGTCAGATACAAAAGGACAAATATTGTATGATCCCACTTACATGAAATATCTAGAATAGGCAAATGCACAGAGACAAAAGCAGATTAGTGGTTACTAGTGATAGGGGAGGACTGGGGAGCTATATTGTGCAAGGAGTACTGAGTTTCTGTTTGGGGTGATGAAAAAGTTTTGAAAATAGACAGTGATAAGAGTTGTAATTATCACTGAATTGTACACTTAGAAATGGTTAAAACAGCAAGTTTCATGTTATGTATGTTTTACCACACACATACACACAACAATGAAAGGAGAAAGGGGAGAAAAGTTAAAATAGTGTGGGTGTCTCACCTGCTATTCCACCTCTTGAGCAGATGTCCTAGTGTGAGCTTGAGACAGAAGTGAACCTGCTCTTCACTGTGGATCTCAGTCCCACATGCATCTGTCTCACATTCTGTGGAGCATATCACCATAGCGATGGGAATTCCTATGCTAAAATAGTGTATTCATCCACCCTGACTCTTAAATACAAGCCAACTGCTTTATGGGGTACTCGATGGAAAAATGATGGTGGTCTGCTCAATCATTAGAAAAAGAATAACTGGTTATGTCGGACTTATCTTGAACTTTATGGTAATCAAGGGGATTTTCAAGGGCAATTTTGACCAAACACAAGTTGTTGGCCTTGTTGTTGCCTTTGAAACATAACCCTTAGCACCATATGAAACACCGAGTTTAATTTCACAAATGCGAGCTTTTGACTTCAGAATTCCACGTATTTTTTTCCTTTAGTTTAAAATGGATGGTTCCATCATAGTACTGAGCTTCTTGGAGGTAAGTCATGCCGTGTGGAAGGTTAATGGTTGTAAACTTACTAAGAAAAAATAACAATATTAATAATGTCAGCATTATGATCTCTCTATTTGAATTGTGTGGAGAGAAGGACTCTTAACCATGAGGGTGGAATTGCATCTCCACAGAGTGACTTTCCAAGTGTTTCCAGGCAGACCAGTGCGTGTTAAAACCCTGAGCTACAGAGCACTCTGAGTCATACCTGTGCCATTGGCCTCCTCTCTGCCATGAAATGGTCCAAGTGCCAAAGAGAAAAATTAGTAACAAAACTACTAAAGAAGGTAGGTTAGTAAAAACATTGAAAATCCCAAGTTTGTTAGACCCAAATCACCATGGTATCTCAGGGTCATGGTATGGTTGTTGATCATGCTGCTTGCTCATATGGAAGACAGAGACCCATCTAAACTGGCTTCTGTGAAACAAATGTCCTTCAGGGGGAACTGCTCAGACCAGAGAAAGTTATCCAGCACCCTTGTCCACCTACAGGACTCTGTCCACAGTGAAGCTGTAAGCCACACTCATGACCGTGAGTGTGGAGGTGCATTCAGAGCTACCTAGAGATGCTTTAGTTTACCGCTCTTAGGCAAATGCAACAGACTTCCTTTTTTTTTTTTTAAAGAATGGCATGCTTGAGCATTGTGCTCTTTTAAGAACTATCTATATGGAGTCAAAATGACAACAGCAACTCGAAAGATTAGATAGGCAGCTTAGGGGGCAGTGAGTTTATGTTAATAGGGGAGGAACAATTCAGAAGAGGGTGAGAATGGTTGTACAACTCGAAGAATGTAATCAATGTCACTGAATTGTATACGTGGAAGTTGTTGAATTGGTGAATGGTCTGCTGTAGTATATTCTCAACAACAACAACAAAAATAAAATAAAATAATTTTTTTTAAAAAGCATGGCATGACACTGTTAAGGTCTGGGCAGCTTCAATTAGGAAGTGGCTGACAGGGCTTTGTAAAAGCTAGAATGTGGGACAGGAAGGAATGGTTGTAACCTAAGTACACACAGAAAACAGTAATACTAAGAAATGCAAGAAGTAGGATAAATGAGAATCTGACAGGAGGGAAATGGCAGAAGGGAGTCCCCAGATTCTAACATTGGCCATGGGCACCATTTAGCCTACAGCGTTCTTTTTGATCCCTCTTTGGTCAATAGCTTTATTACCTTGTCCAACAAAGGAGAGCAACAGCATTAAGAATAGAAACAATGCACCTGGGTCATTCCAGATAAAGGACATTGGTCTTCAATTGACTTATCATCTGGGTTGGAATTATTAAATTTTAAGGCTTTGTTTGGGCCTAAGGCTTTAAACAAGTCTTTGGAGTTTTCCTGGGAGTCTCTGGGTGGTGCAAATGGTCAGTGTGCTCAGCTGCTTACTGAAAGGCTGGCAGTCCACATCCACCCAGAGGTGCCTTGAAAGATAGGCCTGGCAATCTACTTCCAAAACAGTCAGCCATTGAAAACCCAACGGAGCACAGTTCTACTCTGACACACATGGGGTTGCCATGAGTTGGAATCGACT